TCCGGCTGGAAGCTGCTCTCTCGCCTCTGGCTGCCGGCGTAGTACCCGGGCGAGTGGTCGCTGGGTAGGTAATCGCTCTGTGAATATTCCTCGCACGGAGGGAACTTGGGGTCGACATAGTTTGAGTTGATCAAAAAAGAACTCATAGCCATTAATTTCTGGGAATTGCCCACAAAATATACTAAAATTTATTCCGACCCCTGACTCGTTTTCCTGTTTCCGAAAGCCCTCCTACTTACTGTCAAGTGAACAAAGTTAGGCGCCCACGTGATCCTCCGAGCCAATGACCGCCCCGCCTGCGATTCCCGGATAAGGAAATCTGCTCACCCGGACCCTACTCCAGTCAAAGAGGTTTATTTCCCCTTCTTCTCTTCCCCCTCCCCACCCACCCGGCACCAGGATTTACATAGGGCTCCTGCGGGGCGACCCCCTCCTTGCTTTGCTCTCCAGGATCAGAGAGAGAGAGAGAGAGAGAGAGCAGGTTGCGACTGGAGGGCCTATTGGGGCGCAGGGCAGAGCACAATCCCTGGATCCCCTCAGAAGTTGGGGCTCCCGGTGTAGCCCCTCTCCTCTGCCCTGCCTCTCCTCTGCCCAGCATTTTCTGGCTTCCATAGGCCCCCATCTCCTCTCCGCGGCGGGAGGAAGCCCATGCACCCTGAGTCCGTGTGGGGAGTTAAGTGACCCGCCGGCTGGGCGATCCGCCTCGAAAGGGGAACCCATATGGGGGCGAGGGGCATAGAGCTTGGGGCTTTTCTCCGAAGCCGGATGGGGAGGGGGGGAGAGCGGAGGCGTCCAGAGCTAGAGGGCGGGTGCGCAGAGGGACTTGTCAGAGATGAATGGAACCGCGGGCGGATCGATAGGAAATTCATGCACTAATTCGGGGAGACCTCGCCTTCCAAATCGCATTTAGTTGCGCGATTAGCTTGGCTGTGTCAGTCAGTCCGTCTGCCCCCCTTCTCCTATCCATTCCTCCCTTTACCCCACACGGCCCAAGGCGGGAGAAACGACTTGGTCTCCCACACTAAAGATAAGCGCTGGGTTACAAAGCAAACACAAAATGCACTGCAACTTTTAAGAGCAAAATTGAATAGTAATTTGCTAATTCTAGAACCACCCGAGCAACCCGAGCGCTGAGACGTTCTAATTGCGGCGAATGCCGCCGCCTCCGCGGTGAATAGCAATCTCACATGTTTGTGATGCTGCAGATATGAACCCTAGAGGTGACCCCCATACACAGTAACACCCCCTGGTAATCGCGTATTTCTAGAGCACCTTGTTCTGAACCCAAACGGAAAGGCGGCCTCAGCATCCGTTTGAAAAGCGAATTTCCCTTTGCCTTCGCACACTGAAAGCAGTCATTTTTTCAGAATTTCCAATAAAGCCTCCCTGAGCCCAGACTAGAAAATAGGTGGGCTTGGGGCAAGAGGATACATGTAAAACACAATCACCATTATCATCATCATCACCAACAATATTCACCTCTTAAAGAGGTGAAAAAGAACCAAGGCTCCCAGGGCCAGACGTGGGGAGAATTCAGGTAGATGATTCCTCCGTCTCTAACCAGTTGAGGGAGGAAAAGAAAGGAAGAAAGAAAAAGGAAGGAATCTTCACGTGGTCAGTCACTGGATTGTCCTCACATAAAAATATATTTTTTTTTCTTCTGGAAAAAAATGAGCGGAGTGTTTATGTCAACTACATATTCCCCTAGATACGAATTTGTGACCACAAAATTCCTTACACAAATTCGGATCTACAGGGTATATACAGAAGACAGACAGATCTTCTTGGCCCAGAAATTTTCCAGTTCTCCTACTTTCCACGCGTTCTTCGTTTGGGGTGTGGTTTGAGTGCTTTGATTTTTATTTCGTTTGTTCTAGTTTTAAACTCTGGAGCAGAAAAAGGCACTGAGGGTCCATTCTCGGGAATACAGGGTTTTCAACTCTCCTCTTCTATTAGAAATACAAGCAGCCGGTTCGCAAAGGGACGCGAACCTCGCCGCCTCTGTGCAACTCTCGGTGGCGCATGAATTATGAGATGTAAACATTAGCTAAGCACAAAAGGAGGAAGGGTCATTCGGAGGCTGCCGTGAAGTCAGATTCAGGCCTTTCTGGGTGCCCTCGCGCCCCTCCCCTCTTTCCAGGACTTTTTTTTTAACTAGAAAAAACAAAACCCCAATCGTCTCCTCCGTGCCTCTCGAAGCCTTTAGCTTGCGATCAAACGAATATCTAGATATTTTCCAAAGCGCCTCTCAGTGAAGGGAGGAGGGAAAGGCGGCTGGGTGTGAAGGGGGTGTAATAAAAGTCCTTTTGGAAAAATTCAATGGTAAAAAGAGAGAGAAACAGCTGTAAAGAAAAATGCTGGGAGACCAAGCAGATGGGGCCCGGATATTTAATGACGGGCAATTCCGTTTACAACCTGAGAAAAAGATCAAAGGCGTTTCATTTCCGAATGAAGGGCAATGAGGAACCATAAAAATGCAGCCAGATGATATGCCAGCCCCTCCCGGCCTCCCACATCTCCAGGGGCCAGAAGAGGGGGACAATCCCAGGAGAGGTGGGGAGGAACCCCATTTCCCCAACTTCCTAGCCCCAGGCAGGTTCTCTTGGTCTGAACACACACTAACTCGCCCAGCCACCTGCTTGGGTTGCTGGTGGTGGGGCCAAAATGGGACTCTGGGGTTTCTGAACTAATTTCCTGAGGCTCCCAGGAACCGTGAATTTACTAAACTTGGGGACTGGGGAATGGACTGGAGGGGACCGAGTCTTAGACTGAAAGCTGTGACAGGGAAAGGGAAAGTGTGTACAGAAAAAAACGCCAAAAACCCTCCCCACCCAGACTCCTCTCCCATCTAAGTCTAAGAGAGACTTGAATCCCTAGTAAACAAGTCAGAATAATATCAATTGCATTAACAAATACAGCAATAACACAAAAGCAACCCTCTAACCACCCACTGCAGAAGTCTCTGCCTATCCCCAGTCTTGGAACATTTGCAGGTGCCACCTGCCCACAACTAGATCCTGAGATGCCTCTGATTTTTTTTTTTAATCCCAAATCTAGGCATTGCCAATGTTGGCCTCTGGGCCTGATTTCTAACACCAACACTCTCCTGGCCAGGCTGGATTTACATATATTTGGGGGGAAAAGCAAATTATTACATTGTAGTTGCAATCTTTGCCAAGAGAGAGTTCAATAGGTAATCTCAGACCCCCATTAGGCACTCAGGGAGACTGGAGTCTGGCCCTAGGCCCACAGATAAAATGCGCAGCTAGGATCTCCACCAGCTCCCTAACGTCAAGCAGGGACCTTTCCAAGTCTCCTCAAAGGCCACTTAGGGGCTCCACGACCCACTCCAACCGGCCAGTCCCCTCCCCCACCCCATACCTCCTGTCCTTCTCAAATCGCCCGCTCTTGGAAACCCGTCCAACCCGTCGGCTTTCGGAAGTTTGGGAGGGCCGCGGAGCCGGCTGCCGGGCCTCCCTGCTGCTCTACACCTCACCAGCCATGAGACCCAGGTGCCCGGAGCACCCCAAGAGGGAGAAATGGGGGCAGAGCCTCCGCGGGGTTGGGTGTGGTTGATCCGAGGACCAGAGAGCCCAGATTTTTCTCCTCTGAGCGCTGGGAGCTGCCACCTGCCAATCCCAGCAGGACAACGCATGCCCCCCCCCCTCCAGCCGCTAGAGGTGGAGGACGGGGTTTATCAGCGATTCCCAGAACGGGTTTCATCGGCGTGGGAGGCTGCCTCTCCCCACCACCGCCACCTCCAGAAAAACACTAACAGCAACACGCGTGGTTAACAACATCAGAGCCGAGGCTCGCGCGCGCTCCGAGCCACCTCCCCTGCGCTCCAGGGTCGTGCCGCGGCTTCCCGGCCGCTCTCCCCGGGCAGCCACAGGTTGTCAGCGCGGCCTCTCGCTGCTCAGTCCCGCTCTGCCGTCTCGGGCGTGCCGGCCCCGCAAGGGATCCT